TCACCCAGGAGTATGTACAGCTGGACTTTTTTGTCCTGCACAAGGACTGCTGCAAGGTCATCCAAGGCGACAGTGAAGCTACTAAAATGTATGACTTTACTACAGTTTGTGTAATAGAGCTAAAAAATAATAAAAGGCACTGGGGTACCAGGCAGGGAGGGCAGTGCCATTTCCTGGTCTCCCGCATTCTCCTCAGCTCCATGCAAAGAGCAGGGAATGCAATGAAGTGGGACACCTTGGTCAGATGCCAAGTATCCCACCCGGTCATGAGCCAGTCAGTCCGCAGACTGACGGATCCTTGAAGCCAGGAAGTCCTGCAAAGCACTTTTTCTGTCAGTCCTTATCATCTCCCGGTTCTCTTTCCAGTCAGACATGCCACTTTCCATCTCCTTCCCTTCCTAACGCATTTCACTTTGTTGATTTTGGACCATGTTGAAAGAACATAACAAACCTATTTCTAACTCCCACCCTAACATCAAAAAYGTCTGTGGATTCGCCTTCCTTGACATCTTTGATCGTGCCTAAGGGCAAGATTTAACTTACCTAGCTTTAGATACCTCCCTCTGAGCCATTTGGAGTCTCTCTACACCCAGTGAAGAGAAATAGGTGTTATCAGGGTGTGATTCACCTCATTTATTCCAGGCATCTACCTCCAATTGGATGAATCTTGCCCCCTAAATCCCYATTTCTCTCTATAGGCAATATATAGAGTTTAGACAACTCACCCACATGGAGGCATCAGCACTGAGGACACTCTAGAGAGATGGAAGACGCTGCTCCGTTGCATCATTCAAGACATTAATGAACATACTAGCTAAAACCAGGGCTACATAGACCTGCCAGCGAGTGAGCAGACCCACAAAGCCTTCGTCATGGACTCTGGCTTAGACAAGCCTCTTGTCATGTTTTGATGTGATAGCAAAGCACTTTTTGAGCCGAGTTTGTTGGCACTCAATGCCCCTACCCTTCCCAGGSCTCACAAGCTGTATATTTCCAGCTTGGTTATGAGAGTCAGTGGGGCAACAAGAAAGGTTTCTTCGCATCAAGATACGGCAAATCTGCTGCTTCCTCTTATCCAGCAGGCCAGCTGTCCTACCAATGGAGAAAATGAGACTAGCTTTAGGACATAATTTATTCTTGTCAAGTCCACACTGACTGTTTTTTATTGCGTTTTTATCCTCTAGGTGTTTACAAATCCATTGTTTGAGAATTTTTAATAGGATCTGTCTGGTCCCTGGCTTGTCTCCCTCCCTTTCAAAGCCAGGCGTGGTGTCAGCCCTCCTCTAATTTTCTGAAACACCCTCCCTGCATCCTCACTGTTGACCTCAAGGACTCAGGGGTCCAAGAGAACTCTTTCTGTGGTTTCCTTCATTTGGTTTTCTGCTTTCTGAGAAGTAATGCAGTAACCCTAGCCTTCATTTTCCTCTTACTTTCATGCATTTATAGAAATGCCAGGGTTGTTTTGGCATCCTGTCTTCCTTGAAACTATTATGGTATCTTGGTCTACCTGATGTTCATCTTATGCACGTCAGGTAATGTTGTACATGTAGCTTTCACGAGTCTGTATTTTCCCTTTCTTTTATGAGTCCTTTTTAATTTCAACCTCTCTGGGAATTTCTGACACAACTTTTTGCTGTGTTTCCTTTTCTTCCTTGTCCGTTCTGATACTGATATTTCTATAAGCTGATAAAGATCAATGGCTCAACRGGAGTAAATCAGCCTGAGCTGACCAAGACACTGAGAGCCTCTCATGACTTTTTATTCCCTGCAAGTAGGGCAAAAGAAAAGGGCTGCAGCACTTCTTTCTGCTATCACGCAAGTCTCTGAAGTGGCCTTCTGCTTCTCAGTGATATTGGCTGGAAAGTCCTACCACTGCACAGCTCTCAACAGCCTTAYCGTGAGCTGATAAGAGAGCACATTTGCTTTCTGAACTCATACCAAGTATCTGCTCAGAGCCTGCCTTTGCTTCCACAGGGAGGATAATATCCACTTATACCAGCAAAATGACAGTTCCCTTTTGACATYTTCAGTGCTACATCTGCTAAGTTTGCAAGAAAAAAAATAGTAAAGTTTTTAACACTGTTACAGAGGCAAAACTTTCTGGATAATGGCTGAGAGGCATAAAGTTGGATCAAGGCAAGCTGAAGCTTTGGAGATACTGGATGGGGCAGGAAAATCCCCATCAAGGATTGAAAATATGGATGCAAGCAKCATCCAGTTCCCCTTCTACTGCGCCTATGGAGGGATGGAAATCCCTGGAAGAACCCTTAAGCCATTCCTCACCTGCATTTCATATCGGAGTTCTGCTAACTAGGCTTTTTTCCTGCTCTTCCAATGCAGGAGATAACTCAGTCACCTTGTTTTCACACTGCAAATGGGGGGAAAAAAAGAAAAAAGTAGAAAACCTACCTGGGATACCAAGGACAGCACAGTGAAAGTCTCATGTTAAATACCTTGCKAATCACAGTCTTCACACAACGCCTATCAGAGTCTTATGGACTGGAAGGACTCCTCCTGTTCAGAAATGCAACCACTCATAGGTGCAAAATCTGCTTTTGGTAATCACTGCATAAARCTGTGGGTTATCCACAGGAAATGAAATCTTGTTTAAAAAGGAACCAATCTCATTTAAATGCCTTTTTTTTCCCCCACATTCTCCAACTGCCTTACCTGGGCAAATAGAGGCTCAGGCAATTCCCAGACGACAAATTATCATCCAGCAAAAAAACTGGGGAAACAGTCCTTTCACAGCAGCCTAGGAAACTTAGGAAAATGTAAAATGTCAGTGCTTGAGGAAAGAGATATATTTGCTTAATAGAGAGACGTATTCGCTTAATAGATATAGCGTGTTTGCCTTGCATAAGCACATCAACTTTAATATTTGATTTACAATTTAATACAAAGGCAACAGATTATAAAACAAACACATTTACCAATGCAAGGGAATTTTCATGGAACAAAATAACAATTACACATCTAAAACAAGCTGAAAATGAGTTATTTAAGATGCAACTGTCAACTTGCTATTTCAAATCATGATTAAATCACGATTAAAGCCAATGAGCTAAACCACTTTAACATCTATCAGTGCTAGACGAGGCCTTCAAGTCTTTCCTTTCACCTCTCCAATGAAGCCAGACTGCAGACGGATGGAGGGGAAGCACAGCCAGAGGGGAGGTCTCCGCTGGCTCTGCGTGCTGCCAAGGGACAGTAATGCTGGGCATTACTTTGCCAAGATGCTCCCAAGTTGCTCATWCCTTCCCCCATAGAGCACTTTATATATATACACTATATATATACACCATTATAATGATTGAGGAGATGGTTGAGAACCAAGCCAGCTCACATGCTACATGGTTATTTTTAAGGCCAGGGCCTGGAGTTATTTTTCTAACAAAGCCTAYATCTTGCACATAAGCCTAAATTCCAGATGCAGTCTGAGATGCTGAGCCCATCACCAGGCCCTGCAGGTCAGGATCAGCTCACTGTGCACTCATCTTGGCCACTGACCTTAGGAATAGGATCGTATGGTACCTCAGCTTGGAAGGGACTTCTGGACACCTTTAGTCAAATCTCTTGCTCAGACCAAGGTTGGACAACACTGTTAGAGCTTGATGATCATGGAGGTCTTAGGAACCTCCAGGAATGGAGACCATACAGCTCTGGTTTGCCAGCATCTGCCCAGAAATTTTGTGTGTGTGAGTGAGGTTGACAGCAGTGCTCTAGGTCTAGCTCTAACAGGTTATCTCTTTGTTTTAAAGCACCAATAGCTCTGCCAGAACCGTCCTCAAACCCCTTGGTCCAACACTACGAAGATCTGCTGGGACAATCCCCATTCCTAGTCCCACATCCCCTAACTTGCTGGGATAATCCTCCCCCTCCCAGACCAGCAATCTCAAACCTTGCAAATATGATCCCCAACTTCTCAGCCCAGGACCCCTTAATCTCACAGCGATGAGCCCCATCCTCCAAAGCCCAGCACAACAAGCCTTGCTGGGACCATCCTATGCCCCCCTTTCCAGCATCACCAAACCCTGCTGGGATGATCATCATCTTTCCCAGCCCAGCATCTCCAGCACAGGTGTAACAATCCCCATTTCCTCATCAATGCATTGCCAAGTCCTTAGGGTGCCATCCCCATGTCCCCAGTCTGCACACCACTAAACCTTACAGGGAGGATCCCCATCCTCACACCCCCAGCCTAGCTGGCACAATCTCCATGGTCTCAGCCTCACACCCCCAGTGTAGCTGGGACAACTCCCATGTGCGCATTCAGCACCCCCAGCCCAGCTGGCACCATCCCTGTATCCCCATTCCAATCTTCCCCATCCCAYACCCCATCATCTCCTCATCTTCATGTCACCCTTTCCACACAGCCCCAGCTCAACTAGCACAATCCCCATGCCCTCCTTCCCATCTGTTTGTCTCTAGCCCCACCATGCCCCCATCCCACACTCCCAGCCCATCTGGGACCATCCCCACCCCCTCAACTCCRCTTCTCCATGTCACTCATCCCAGCACTCCCAGCTGGGATCGCCCTCACTTCCCCATCCCTAACTCAATACCCCAGCCCAGCCGGGACCATCCTCACCTCCCCATTCATTTCCCCTACCCCCTCCCATCCCACACTCCCAGCCCATCTGGGACCATCCCCACCCCYTCAACTCCAGCTCCCCCATCCCTCACTGCAAGCCCAGCTGGATCCATCCATCCCCACCTCCCCATTCCCACCCCCATTCTACTCAATCGGGACCCCACGTGCCCTTCCCCATCCCTCATCCCCGTCCCAGCTGGCATCGCCCCGACCTCCCCCACCGCAGCTGGGATCACTCCCGACGGGAACCTCCCCCATCCCAGCTGGGACGATCCACCCCCCGCTCCCAGCTGTGCCCTCCCCTGCCCGCCCCGCCCCGGGCGGGGACTGGCCGGGGGCGGCCGCGGCCGCTTAGAGCGCCGCGGTCCGCGCTGCCCGGCTCGGTTCRGCCCGGCTCGGTTCGGCGATGGCCCCCGCGGCGCACGGCTGCGGCAGCGGCGCGCTCCTCGGCCGTTTCGGCGTCCTGCTGCAGGCGCTGCTGGCGCTCGGCGCCTTCAGCACCCTCATGCGTGAGTACCGCGGCCGCGGCGCGGCCGGGATGCTCCGCGCTCTGCCTGCATCCCGGGCGCCCCGCGAGCCGCTGTGTGCGCTGGGCTTGCGGCGAGCGCAGCTTCATTCCCCTCGCACGGGCAGCCCCGCTGCTCGCTTGGGTCGCTCACCTGGCTGTAAGGATGGTGGAAACAAAGGGTGTAAGCAAGCAGCCTGCTTGCTTGCAAGGAGATAAGTCTAACAAAAATAGCGTGCACTGGGTAGAATGATGTGAAACTACAATAATATTTCCCTTGCTTGAATCGTGGTGTTGTTTTAACTTTGCTTGCCCTATGGTGTAATGTCTGAGAGGCCTCAGAAGGAGGGTTTGGGGCTTGAAAGAAGAGTTTTGTGTGCTAAAAATCTGCTACCCTGGTATCTGAAAGTAACTCTGCCTACCATGGGCTGCCCTTAGGTTGTAGCTGCCTTGTTGCTTCTTGTAAGGGGTGGTAATGATAGGAAGCAGCCACGTAGTGAGAGGAGTAGYGGAGAGGCACTAATAAGATGTGAGAAAACCTGTTGCTCTTCACTGTCCGCACTCATAGTGATGCATGGGTTGTTTCATCATTCACTGAAGTGGTTTGATTCAAACCAAGTAATGAGGCAGAACATGGGTTGCTTTCTGTGTTTGAAACCCTGAGGTGCTGAAAAACTTCAGTTTTTCTGGTTAAGTCTTTCTCACCTCCTTTCTGGAAAACCCTTTTGGAGACTGGACTCAAGCACTGTGCTTTTAAACAGAAGCTATTAGAGAAAACTGCAGCAAATTCCTTCTGTGATAACTGGTAGCTTTCTCCAGGGGTAGTAGCCCTATTCTGACACTTAAAGGCCCATATTTCACCAGGTATTGAAAATATGGATAGATTAACATGGTCTTTCTGTTCCCCTTACTGTTAACTGGTTTGTAAACTTCAGGGAGTTGTCCCATAAAAATCAGTATTTTGATAGTATTAACTGCTATGGCTGAGGCTGGTAGGAAATCCTCACCTCTGGGCTACTGATTTTAACCCCCAAGGTTAAAAGACTACTGTTTTCTTGAACATTAGCAGCCCCTTGGTTAACGAGAAGCTGAAAGTATGTGGATTCACAGTGAATCCACTTAAAGACAAACACTGCAGAGGAAACTGCTGGCTGGAACCTTGAAAGTAGATGTGTTTACTGCCCTGGGATCTCAAACACAACATCCCTGGCTTCAGCAGGGCCGTCTGTCCCTAATTCACCCCAGCTGCTTCTCATCTATGCCCAATTTACACACTCCCTGCTGGAGACTTTCTCAGATCTGTCACTGGGGTTGTTTGCATGCTGACTCTTACTACATTTTAGTAGTAACGGGTTTACCAGTGATCTCATGTTAACCAATAACTTGCTGCAAAGCAACTTTTGGAGCTTTTGTGTGAACTGTTCAGTTGGTGACCTCCTGGGGAGGAGAAGGCATTCACAGCTGCAGGGTGTGGGAAACAGTTGGGCTGGTGTAAGACATGTTCAGAGCCTCAAATGCTTTTGGGAACCTTGACTGCATCTTTATTYGAGCCCAAAATGAACTTAGGGAACTGCACCTGAATGACTCACCTAAACTGTGGTGCACTGGCTGCTTTTCTGGGAATAGCTGTGGATCCGCCTTGATATTTTATTGTATTTGTGATATATATGTCTATGACTTCTGTTCTAATGGGGCACTGTAGACCAGATTGCTGTCCTTACAGGCCAAGGAATGGATGTTTCATTCCTATGTGAATGCAGGCYCATGAACTGTGGATTCCTTCTGCTGTAAAGCTTAAGCTCAGCTTAGTTGTGGGAGAAGCTACAACCAGAGAGCTGTGCAGCTGGTGCTTCTTCATTATGCCTCTAACAAGCAGTTTCCAAGAGAAATGTGGTCAGGTATAACAAGCTTGCTGGTGGGCTTGTATTTCTGGGAATTTCAAATTATTTGAACTAGCTCCAGACCTCCTGCCTTGGGYTGTGTAGGTGGCACAGGCCAGCTTCTGTATGCTGAGATGCCTAGAAGAGACTGGTTACTCCTTTATTAAAGTTATCACCCATTGAAAACTGGCCTTATCTGCTTCCCATCACTCWGTAGAGCTGGAAATAAAGTTGCAGCTGTCCTTCAATTCAGAGGTATGAAATGGAGAATTAGTCCTTTAAAACAAAAACCAGAATTTTAATAGAGAAAGCTTCAAGATTGCACAAATACTACACAGAGCACTTGAAAGGATCTTGAGAATCTCAGGCTAGCTGTGATGTGGTGGTTGCAGGTGCTGGTGCACTGGATGTGATCACAGAGCACACGGCCAAAATACAGAGGGTCAATAATATGGTCTCTTCTAGGTGTTAATTTCTGTGTTATTAGTGGTTTGTCTGAATTGATCCTGTGGAATTGCTTGTCTGGGTTGTATGATGCATAAATCATGTGCAACCACAGGAGAGAAAACAGTGGCAAATTGGAGCTGATAACCATGGGTTGTCACCTTTCGCACCTCCAGTGTGGGCTTCAGAAGCTCTTAGGTTGTCTATAGGGTCCATTGCTGCAAAAYCTGTGCACTGACTGAAGGAAGCAGTAGTCAAGTATTGTGTATGTGTGTGAAAGTTGGCCGTTTCCTACTCAAGAACTTGCCCTTAAGAGTAGGTCACAGCACAGAGCGGTGTGGATAACTGAATAACCCCCTCTGAAAAAGTCCTAAAYGCTCAGTCCTGATTATTGGCCAGCTCAATGCAGAAAGAATGCTACTGTTGCATCAGATGCTGGATATGACTTGGAGGCTGAATCTGAACCTTTGCAGTTGCTTCTATTCTGTTTGAACCTGGTGCTAGAAGGGGGATGTAGGCCAGCAGAAGCTGCCAAGCTTGCAGCTTGGAACAGCAAATCCCTCTGGAATGACGAAAACTCTTAGAAATCTTAGCCACAGCAGCTACAGCTCCTCTGTGGTGACCAGAAGGAGAAATTGGGAGTTTGAGGAGTATTTTTTTATTTGTATCCCCATTATGAAATGAAAAAGCTTTTCTTGGGCACGTGTATTTGTCTCACCACCCACACTGTTTGTTATGGAGTAATCTAAGGCCATCTATTACTCTTATAAACTCTTGCTTTTGTTCTTCAGTGCATCGTGCCTTGAGCTTGCACTAGGATAGCAGCGTTGTGTGTGTTGGGGCCACAGTGCTGACTCTTCTGCTCAGGACCTCTGGTTACGGAGGTGATCTATAGCAACAAGGGCAATGCTCTGTAATTCTGACCCAAGTAGGTTGTTCCAAGGTGAGACTGTGGAATTGGGTTTTGCCAGACTGGCCTCAGGATTGTAGCATGAAATACCTGTGATGAATACAGAAATTACCCTCATCTTTATTTCCTTGATTCCAAAGCTCTCTAGTAGAGAGAGGGGAGAGGGAAAAAAAAAAAGTGGTCTTAAAAACTAACTTTGCACTGTTTTTTTTTTTTTTTTTTTTTTTCAGGATAGTGGGTTCCTGACTTGTAAAAATGGAGGGAAACCTCCCAATATGTGGAAGTTTAGAAGGGTTTAGCAAAACGAGCAGTAATTATCGCAGCAATCAGAGAAACCAGGCTAAGTATCCTGCCCTGGTGCAGCCTGGGATCAGTGCTGTGTTCAGGCTTGTTGCTGAGTGTACWTTGAATTGCTTCATTGTTTCTGTGCTTCAGAATTATTCTGTATGCTCACAACATGAWGTTCTGACTTTTATGCTGAAAATCTCTTAAGGCTGGGTGCAATTTTGTGTGTCGGAAAGAAGAAGAAAGAAATGAAGGGTACATTAGGCTTGGTGTTTGATCTATCCAGACATTCATGCTGYGCTGACATAAACTTGCCAAGGACTTAAGAGCACTCCATGACTTGGCAAGCATAAAGCAGGTGCTGCTGACCTCTAATGTAACTGCCTAAAACTGTGCACTTGGTTTGATGCATATTTAAATGCAAACTTTACCAGTGCAGATGCTTTTCCCTTGGTGTTAAACCACAAAGGTTAACTTTCTGGAGGTGTGAAGTACAAGGCTTTGACTGTAATAGTCATTTACATGTAAGTATGTGGGTTAAGTTTAAAAAACAAAAACACCCTACCTGTGACAGTCTTCAGACAATTTTTTTTCTTCTGCCTCAATACATCTGAAAACTGGCTAAGCTTGAAAATACACATTGCACTTTAAGTTGGGAGATCTGCACAGCATTTGATGTGCTTAGTTAAGCCGAACACAGCTTTTTATGAAGCTTTTGAATTTTAATTATGTTGACCTGTTCTTGGAAGCCATCTTTTTGAGCTAAATTGAGCAATGAAAGCTGCGTGCTAGTTTTGGGATGCGAGAGTCCTGGCTTTGGAAAGGGATTAATGCATTGGGGAAGCTGACAAGTGAGCTGGCAAGCTAGCACTGCTTTTGTAGCTGCCCTTAATACAAGGACTGCAAAACTCATTGCTGAAATGGTCCTGTAAATGAGTGATATTATCTATAACTCTTAACACTCTTTAAGAAACTTTGATGCAAAACTTGTCTTCATCAATTAAGGGATGGAGCAAGTAAAACTCTAGACAGAAATCTGTTAAGTTTTCAACTGCTTTAATAATATGGTTGAGAACAGTATACTGTGGCTTTTAAATTTCCAGTCCAGCTGTGTCACTCCTTTCTTAAGGTTTTATTCTCTTATTAATGCTCTTAGGGGGAAAAAATGAATTTTAGATGGGAAATGTTTTCTCAAGAGATTTACCTGGAAACTAGTGGGACTTCGTGTTGGAAATAAGTTAATGTCTGTCTCATCCAAGAAACAGTTAAAAAGCCTCTCTGGATTAGAACTGGAGCCCAGCCCCAAGCCAGGTCTTCTGACAGATTTACTGTGACATCAAATACCTTGCCCAGTTCTCAATGTATAAAATGGCTGTTATTTCAAGGTATGCTTTATGACCACCAGGYGCTCGAATGCTGGCCAAGGGCCATAAAAATCTCATAGGAATAAGACCTATGGGGCTGCTGCACCCTTTGCTGCTTGAG